TCTCCGGTGATCTGTTTCATGAGGATATAGGGTGTGGGAACACCAGCGGATGGGGTAGGTAGTACTGCCCCTCCGATAAGGTGATGTTTGTGTCGTGGGCGGGAGGGAGGCAGGGAGGGAGGGAGGCAGCCATGTAGATATTTGTGGGAAGAACATAGCAGATGGTGGAGAGAGTGCGTTCAGAGGCTCCTGGATGGAAGCATGCAAGGCTTTGGTGGACCAGCAAGGGTCCAGTGCGGCGAGAGTGAGTGAGGGGAGGGGAGAGTGGGGGGGTGTGCGTGTGCGTGTGCGCCTGTGTGCGTGGTTGGATGGCAAAGTGGGAGAGGTGGCACAGGCAGGACCATGTGGGCCCGATGGGCCACGACAAGGCGCATCTGGGTTGTGTTCCAAGAACACGAGGAGCCACTGGGGTTCGAGGCAGAGGAGTGGCATGAGGCAGCAGGCAGGTGGAGAGACAGACTAGGGGCGGCAGCAGCCCAGGTAGTGCGGAGGGGCCAGTCTCTGGAACCAATTGGAAGACAAAGGAGGCTGGATTTGCTGCAGTTGGCTGTGGGGTGTGAGAGAATGTGCGCACTCAAGAATGACTCCCAAGTGTTCGGCCTGAGCCACATGGAGTTGCCATTAACAGAGATGGAGAAGGTGAGGAGGAGCAGGCTGGGGTTGGGGGAAATGAAGGCAGAAGACCTGTTATGTTGAAGCTGCTAGGGGACATCCAAGTGGGGGTAACAGGTCTGCTGGGCTCACGTGGAGTGGAAGGATGTGTTCCAGGAGACCTCAGGGGGAGAGGATCTGGGGGCCAGCATTCAGTGTGCAGATGGAGTTTAAAGCCATATGACGGGATAAGATTGCTCAGGGTGAGAGTGTGGTCCAGGGAAAGGGCAGAGCCTGAGGCTAGGCCACGCCCCGTCTCGCTGGGTGCTTCCTTACAAGAGAACTTCTTCCAGGCAGTCTTGTAAGTTCTATCACAGCACCCCTGCCAGGCAGGTATTATCCCTATTTTTGCAAACGAGAAAGCTGAGGCTCAAAGAAGTGAAGTGATTTCTCCACGCCACACAACCTTATTAGGCCCAGTCGGAACGGGAACCTAGACTTTGGCTCCTGGGCTCTCGCATCCCCCTTTGTGGACCCTGCCCAGGGGTCCACCCTCCTGGAGACTGGCTGGGATGACCTTGGGCAAGGTCAAGAGAACGACACTGGGGCAGCGTGCCTACCTCTCTGGGCCAGGAGGGAGTGACTCAGGCCTTGGCTGTCTACTCAGGCTTGGAGGGAAGGTTGGCCGTTTGCCACCCCCTGCCAGGCCTGGATTCCTTCACTGGGAAGTGAAGGCCTGGCTCCCTGGGACCCGGAGGAGGACAGGTGTGTGATTTCTGCTTCACAACCCCCAGGGCACTGACAACTCTGAGTTCAGGAGAGCCCTTGAGTCAGACTTCATGGCGTCTAACGGGCTCAGCAGGTTAGATTCACTTCCTTCTTCCGAAGCCGGTCCGGGTTATCTGTTTCCCTGCCAGTGCCCAGCAGCTGGGGTTCAGAGAGGTGAAGTGGTTTCCCCAAGGTCACAGAGCCAGCTCTGGGGCACAGCCAACAGACTCCCCTCCTGCCCTCCCTTCCTCGGTGTCGTCTGGGTCACATTTCCTCTGCTGTACTGTCGGCCAGGCTGTGCCTGGTCTCCGAGCCTGGGACGCACACGGCTGCATTCTGAGGCTCCTTGGCTCTTAGCCCTGCAAGCCTGACCTGGCATTTCTGGCTCTTAGATAGTAAGGTCCTAATTCTGGCCTCTCTATGTACTTACTGGCTGTGTGACTTTTCCCAAGTTACCTAACTTCTCTGAACTGGTTTCCACAGCTGTGAAATGGAGAGACGATGACATCTATCTCTGGAGCTGTAATAAAGATTAAATGTGAAAGCACCTGGCACAGCTCATAAACCTAAATCTCCTGCTTTAACTCTTTCATGTGTTTTACATTGTTTTTCTTTTGAGTCACACTGGTTGCAAAAGGCAGCCTGGGACAGATAGATGACTCTGAGCCTGAGAACAGTCCTTCTCTCAGCTCCCAGTCACGATAGCCACACGACAGCCACGCCGCAGCCCTGGCCTCAGATTGCACTTGGGTTTGTGAGAGAGGGAGGGGATGATCCCTAAGAGGTGGGGGCCTCAAGCCTGGTCTGGTGCTAATTATAGGCAACCTGGCTTGGGAGTCTGAGATTGCAGAGCCCTGTGGAAATGGCATTTCTGTACATTGAGTCCTTCCCCCTGCATTTCCCATCCCATTTCTGAGCCACTTTCTCCTCATGCACAGAACCACTCTTTCATGAAAAAGTCTGGACTTTGCCACTACTGGCTCTGTGTCCTTGGGCAACTCCCTCCTAGTCTTGGGTCTCATCTCTTCATCTGTGTTGTGGAGCAGGGTGTGGGCTGGCTTAGAGTTGGCATTTGTTTACATGTGACGGCACACACAGAATACTTTTCCAAGGCTGTGCACCTGGGTGAATGGAAGCGGCTTCTTGACTTGTCTGTCTCCAGCTGTCCAGGCCAGCCAGGTGTCCCCTGGGGCCTCGAGGACCAGTATCACCTTCCAGAGGGAATTCCAGGGGTTGACATCCAGATGGTGGAGAAGGATCCCTTAGAATCCTCCACCTCATCCACTCTGGGTGGCAGCGTGGCCGGTATACCAACTGCTCCTGGCTCTTCGCTAGCCTTCTGGGGCAGGGGCAACCGCAGTCACTGAGCTAACCGTATTCCAGCATTGGGCTGAGGACTACCTGTTGAATTCTCACTGAAGCTTCATACAGATGAGTGAGGGCACTGGGCCCAGGGAGGAGAGGGGACTTGCACAGGGCCCCACAGTGGGGGAATGACAGCAGGAATGGCAGCCTGGGTCTGAACCCGTGCACTTACTGTAAATGGTTGGCATGAGAGAACGTCTCCCTGGGGTTTCCCAGCACTAAGAGAGGCCCAGAGGGATGGGTCCAGAGGACTCTTAATAGGAAACATGTGGGCCCCACCATTTCCTTTTACTCCACCAGGGATGGGTGAGGTCCTGGCTTCCTTCTCTAAGGGATCGCCCTTGGCAAAATGAGAGCCATGTCCCTCCATCTCTCTCACTAAGGAGAGATGGTGGTAACAAAGAGCGTTAGCACTAGGGACTGACCCCAGGTGTGATGACACCGGGACAGCAGGTGGCACCCAGAGCACTGGCTTCTGGGGCCTCCTGGCCCTGAGGTCCTTGTTAGAGGCTGCAGGGCAGGCTTCAGAGCCCAGGACAGAGGCAGCCACCAGGGTGGAGCCCTGTCTTGGAGGGCATTCTGGCAGTCAGAGCAGCATCCTCCAACCTTCCCGTGTGTTGGGGGTAGGGCGAGTGTAGGTGTGGGGAGCTGGGGTGTCTAAAGCCAGTTGTGGAAAGCCATGTCATACTTGGCTACCTTCCTGTGTTCATTCCCTTAACAAAATTCTTGGACTGATCATGTGAGGTCATCCCTCTGTCTCCTTGGCCTCTCTGGGCTCTGACTTTGCTCATCTGGGAAGTGACAGGGAGGGGGAGGTTGAATAATAAATCATACTTCACCCAGTCAAAGAATACTACTCAGGCATTAAAAATGATGGAGCAGATCTATATGTTCTGACATAGGAAGATGACTATAATAAATTATTAAGTGGAAAATACAAGTTGCGAAGTAGAATTTATGGTTTGATCACATTTCAGTGAAATAAATTTATACACATGGTCGTATATGCACAGAAAAACTATCTAGATGTAGGTATACCAGAATGTTGATTTGTTTTCTCCAGAAGTGGGAGGGGATTCTAGTTCCGTGACATCAGTGCTGGGGGCTGGTGGAGAGGGGGGATGTGGGGCCTATGTGCTTCTAGTTTCCAGTTCTGGAATACAGCCCACCTCCCTGGGACTAGGTAGACACCCACCCAGCAAGTCCCCCAGAACATGAGCCCTGGACAATTTCCAAGGAGGTGGAGATTACAATCTCAGTATGGTGGCTGTAGAAGGCACTGGTGACAGTTTGAGGTCCTATTTTACCTGTGAGGAGACTGACCTAATGAGACAGAGAGAATCAGTGGTAGCGATGGGTGTTTTGCCCCCAGAGTGAGGGAGGATCACTGCACCTTCCTCGCCCCTCTGGTCTCATCTTGCTCACATCATCAGTTATTTGACTCTTGAGATCATGACGGAAAAGATCATCACATTGATTTGCTCACACAAACATTTCTATATCGGCTGTTAAGATTATGACCCAAGACCTAAAAAAGGGAAAACAGGTTTGCACCTGTTTCATCAAACTTAAGAATATCCTTCGATAAAACAGTCCTTTAAAATAAAGCTGCCACATTTCTATAATTAGCAAAATTACTGTAAAATTTGGGATAAACCTGAGAAAGTCAGAACTTAATGATTTTAGACACATTCAACCCTCAGTTGACTGCACTAACAGATATGTGACCTTGGCGGTGATTTGGGCGCCTGGATCTGAGTGGGCTGGATGGTTTTCTGTCACAGATTTAGAGGACCTCTGCACAGACTGGACACCTTGGTGGGGACCATGACGGTGCGACCCTGATGTGGGAAGGTGAGGAAGCAGGGACTGAATGGGGCTAGAGACCAGAGAGGCAGGGCATCGCCTATACAAAGCCCCTGCCCAATCAGGTCCTCAAGGTTGGTGGAGTGGCTGAGAGGCCATAGTCCTGGGTTCAAATTCCAGCTCCTCCATCTTCTCAGTGTCTATGCCTCAGTTTTCCCATCTCCAAAATGGGGATGCTAGCACCGGCCTCAGTGGTTTCTTGGGTTCACTCACACGGAACACTTAGGGTGGTGCCTGGCACAGAGTAAGCCCTTGCCAACTGGTACAGCCCGCCTGTGTTAGCGAAGAACTGTGGCCGGCTCGTTACTGCAACTGGAAAGAGCAAAGGGAAGCAGCCCCCCGTGGCCGTGGCAGGGGTCTCCCGAGCTAGTTTGTTGCATTCTGCCCCTGACTCTCTCCCTCCGTTTCAGGCGGGACCGTCTGTGGAGCCGGCCCCAGGATGCCCACGGCGTGTGGATGACCAGCCATCGAGCCACCCACGGCCCAGGCCGGATGCCACCGCCGCGCGAGGACCGCTCCCCGAGGGCCGCTGGTGGCCCCAGGCCCTAGTGTCCTGACCCGGCCCGGCTGTCCTGTCCCGCCCTGGCCGCCCAGGGGCCGGCGGGGAAGGCGCAGGAGTAGTTTCCGACCCCGCCGAGCGCGGCGACGGCGCAGGGACCCGGGGAAAAGGGCTCGGCGCCGGCGGGCAGCACCCTCGCCCACCGGCTCGGCAAGATGACCAGCCTGTTCCGCCGGAGCAGCGGCGGCGGGGGCGGCGGCGGCGGGGCCGGGGCGCGCGGGGCCGGGGGCAGCGCCGCGGCCGCCTCGCAGGAGCTCAACAACAGCCGGCCGGCCCGCCAGGTGCGCCGCCTGGAGTTCAACCAGGCCATGGACGACTTCAAGACCATGTTCCCCAGCATGGATTACGACATCATCGAGTGCGTGCTGCGCGCCAACAGCGGCGCGGTGGACGCCACCATCGACCAGCTGCTGCAGATGAACCTGGAGGGCGGCTGTGAAGACAGCTCGGACTCGGAGGACAGCATCCCCCCGGAGGTAGGGGCGCGGCCCCAGGCCCCAGGGCCCGGCGGTTCCAGCTGGAGAGGACTTGGGTTGCACCGCCTGCGAGCGGCCTCCTTTCTCCTAGGGAACCGGTACCCAAGTCAGTCACCCGCCTGGTTTGCTGGGCAGAAACCATGCAGTCACGCACCAGGCGCGGAGCACCCACCAGTGGTATCCTGGCCCCAGTCAGGGGTCATCAGAAGCAAGGAGCTTTTTAAAAATGCAGACACCTGGGCCCCGTCTAACACGGTGAATGTCAGTCCAGGCTAGAGCCTTCTGGCCTGTGGTTTTCAAGAACTGCGACTGTTGAACCCCTAAGTATCCACCTTGGGCCAGTCAGAAAAGTTTCTGCCCTCACAGAGTTCACAGAGTGCTATGATGGGAAAACCAGAAGCAGGACGGGGGGATGGCTTCCCAGAGGAGAGGATGGCTAGGCTGAGACCTGGAAGGAGAGTGAAGAATGAGGGAAAGAAGAGTGGACGAGAGGGGACAGCTTGTGCAAAAGCTCAGAGGTGAAATAGAGCATGAGTCGCCGGGGAACGGACAGCAGGGCCATCTGTCAGGATCCTAGAATGAGTGGAGACCAGGAGGTTGAGACCTTCCTCTGAGAGACTGGGCTGTGTCCCTGGAGCACAGGGAGCCATGGAAGAGGAGTGACAGACTTCCTCTGACGAGGGCAGGATGGAAGCCGTAGTGAGCGATAAGAAACCAAGCCCTTCTCGCCTCGCTGTAGGGGAAATGGGGGAGATGTGACCACTCCTCTGCATCAAGGCCACCTGCCGGGCCTGGCCAGTCCTCCCTGGCCCCATCCAAGAGTTCAGTATACGTTTGGCCCCCAGTCTCCACAGGACCTGTAATGCTGGGTACAGGATGGACACAGAGCCTTTTAGTGAGAGGGTCGCTGCCAGCAGGGGCATGTGAGACATGCAGCCATGGACAGAAGGACCCAGTGGTGGGATTTAACTCTGCTCTTCATTGAGCCCCAACCTGTGCCAGGCACCATCCTCGCGCTTTCAATGTCTCCTCTCTTCTAGTCTTCACAGACTTTGTGAGGTGGTGTTATTATTACCCTCATTTACAGTGAGAAAACCAGCACCCAGATGTGGCCTCAGAGTCTACTCAGCACGGCCCTCACAGAGTTCACAGAGCAGTGGAGAGTAGGGACAAGAAAGTCAGGCAAGGACAGCCTGGAGTGGTGAGTGGTATGATGGGAAAACCAGAAGCAGGACAGGGGGGTGGCTTCCCAGAGCAGAGGATGGCTAAGCTGAGACCTGGAAGGAGAGTGAAGAATGAGGGAAAGATGAGTGAATGAGAGGGGACAGGTGGCCCCTGTCCATCAATCAGAGTCCTCTTGCAGGGCGAAGCCCACTTGCTCTTCCTCCCTCAGTGGGTGCTGCCGGGATTTCTCTCTCCAGGTGGAGGAGAAGCGCTGTGGTCAGTGACATCTGTCTCATCCCCGTGTCACCTGCAGCACCCCAAACAGTCCTGGCACATAGCAGGCACTTGGGGAATACTGTTGAACACATGTTCCTGCTGTCTTGACATAGTTTTCTTTAGTTTCTTGTCCCTGGAGACCACTCCTTTGACCTGCCTGGATTAGCAAATGGAGGGAGTGTTGGAAAATCGAGGTTTTCTTTGTGCAAAAGAAGGGTGAGTGTATGCATGAGTATGTGTGTGTGTGTGTGTTTGCAGATATATCCTTTAAGTGTGAGCTGGAAGGAAGGTTCTTTGCAAACTCTGACCCTCCTGCAGTCTCATTTGTTCTGACAGTCTGGCAGGTGGGATGCTATTTCCTCCTTTGTCCATGGCACCCACCGCCCCGTGAACCTCTGCAAGGCTTCAGCATCCCCTAGATAGGCCTACGCTGTGTGTGCTTCTGTTTTTCTAAGAATCTTGCTTTCCCGATTGAGTCCCTTCTCAGCACCCCTCCTGGGCTGTTTCCCCAACCCCCCACGTTTGGAGCTCCGCCTGGGCCCATGGCGGGCAGTTCCTGAGCCAGCGGAAAGTGCTTCAGAAAATTTATGAGCAGCAGCTGGAATGACAATAGCTGCTGACTGGAAAAAGCCCCCTCTGGGGTCTGATGGATGGTGGGCTGGCCCGAGGGGTACCCTTGCCACAGAGAAACATCTTCTGTCAGATAAATGGCCAGACCCTGACCCTTAGAGCACCTGGCAGGCATCCATCACCCACACTGAATTAAGCCAGGAGGCCACAGAGCTGAAAACTTCAACACCTTTAGAGCCAGAAGAACAACCTCATTGTGGCTGGTAGGGTTGGGGGGAGCGGGGCAGGGGGAGGCCAGAAACATGGCTGGGGTTACTGTCCCCGGAGACTGGGGATCAGCCTTTCCGGAGCGTGCCTGGCCCACTGCCTACCTCCTTGGCTTTTCCTCATTGTGCTCCAGGAGCCTCTGATAAACGTCTGGTTCTTGCAGCCTCAGGAGGCCTCGTTGAGGCGTGGGAGCGGCTGAGAAGTCCTCCTGGTGCAGTTGTGGAGGCCTGATCTCCCTGAATCTGGGGGGCCAACTGCAAGGCCAGTCATGGGAAACCCAAGCAGCTTCCTTCGAGGAACGATTCCCACTGAGCTCCCTTCCTCACTCATCTTACCCAGACCAGCCTCAGTGGGGACAGACCAGACCAGCCCCCGGGGGAGGAGCGGCTCAGCCTCCAGAATTTGGCCTCAAGGCCCCAGCCTGGAACCCTTGCCCTCAGAACAGCAGGGTCTGGGGAATGGGGAATGCGGGCTGGGGGGCAGCAGCAGCATGGTCTCTGGGTGTACCAGGTAGTTGCTGAGCCGTTGTCCTGTGCCAGGCACCAGGGGTTCACCCATGAACAGGAATGGAGCTCAGTGTTCTCTCTTTCTCTCTTTTTTTTCTTCTTGTGGAAATTTGGGGTAGGCAGAGTAGTGACCCGCAAAGCAGCTACATTCTTCTTTTTCTGCAAAAGCATCTGTTTAAATACTTTCCGCCTCAAAGGAAAGAACGTTAGTGCATTCCAGGGCAGGAGGTCTCCTTGGGTCAAGCTGGCTGTGTGTGCACAGAGCGTGTGTGCGTGCGCACACACTCACTCACCACCTGCCAGTCTGCCAGGTGTCCCTGCGAGACTCTCAGTGCCTGGGCATTGGGTTCAGGGCAGGGATGTGCCAGTGCAGCCCAGCCCAGCCCAGGCTTGCTGAAGCGGAGCAGAGTCAGTTTAGCAGTGACTTCTGCAAACTCTAAGTTAAAACATGGGGCCTGGGGACTCTGGTGCTGATTGAGCTGATTGACAGCCTCTGAACCTTTCCGTGTTCTTTGGTCTCAGAGCTGGGGAGGAGAGGAGTGGGGAGCAGGAGGCTAAGGTATAGGTCAGCTGGGGTGTGTGACCTGGGGTCTCCTGGTTGATGTCTGCCTCCTGCTCTAGACTTCTCTGTGGTCCTTTGGGGAAGAGTTCGGGTCAGTCCATGTAGCAGGAACCCTGGCCTTCACCCAGCCCTTGGCCTCTCCCTCCCCTCTTTCTGGCTCCTGGATGAAGAGAGGAGTCTGGGAGGGAGAGGCATCCTGGGCACTGTCCTTGCCCCTGTCCACCCTGAGAATCCACCCTGGCTAAAGGAGGAACCCTTGCTGCAAGACCGTGTTCAAGTTGAGACTCAGTTCTAAAAACACTGTGTGGCTTTTGCCATGTCACTTAGCCAGCATGGGTCTCAGTTTCCTCATCTGTAATATGGGGTAACAATCCATATCCTATCTGGCCTCATTGTTTGAGGTTAAGGTGAGATGATCCATGTGGAAGTACTTTGAGAGAGGGCGTGAAGGATGTTCAAGTTAGTTATCAACAGTAACACTGTAGAGAAGAGTTCATGAATCTCTAGTGTGCAGCTCAGTGACGTCTCACCAGCAGTCAGATCAAGAAACATCAAGGGAACCCACAGGCCCCTTGTGCCCCTTCTTGGCCTCCCCCGCCCTCACAGAGGTCACACTGCTCTGACTTCTATCACGGTGATTTGCTTTGCTTGTTTCTGAACCTTACTTGGGTGGATACTGCTGCTGTGAACATTCTTTTGGGGACATGTGCTTTCCTGTCTGTTGAGTACGTTGGAATTGTCGGGTCAGGGGTAGCCCTGCGTTTAGCTTCAGTATATAAAGCCAGACTGTTTTTGCAAAGTGCTGGTTGTAACAATTTACATTTCCACCGGCAACGCAGAGTTCCCTTACTGTACATTCTCGTCCACACTGGAATTTGTGTAAATGTTATTCAAATTCGAGGAAGGATTGTTAATATTTCTTTCTTTATTCTCTCTGATACAGATCTTGGAAAGGACTTTGGAACCTGATAGCTCAGATGAGGAGCCCCCGCCTGTGTACTCCCCGCCAGCCTACCACATGCACGTGTTCGACAGGCCTTACCCTCTGGCTCCCCCCACTCCGCCTCCCCGGTGAGAGTCCAGCTCCTCTCAGAGTGCAGGCCGTGGGGAAGGGATCAGGGGCTGGGGTTGAGTACAAACACAGTGGGAATCTTGGCGAGACCCCTCAGCAAGAACAGGCTTCTACTGCAGCAGGAAACATTGTGGCTAGATACCAAGAAGAACTTTCAAGAGCAAACATTCAGCCCTGGTTAGAGCACTGGCCTGCGGAATGAAGGGTTGTGGGTTCAGTTCCTGGTCAAGGGCACGTACCTGGGTTGCAGGTCCGATTCCCGGCCCTGGTTGGGGTTGTGCGGGAGGCAACTGGTCAATATGTCTCTCTCACATCAATGTTTCTCACACTCTCTCCTCCTCTCCTAAAAAAAATCAATAGGAAAATATCCTCAGGTGAGGATTAAAAAAATAATAAAGCAAACATTCACTCAATTCCTACTCCAGACCAGGTGCCATGCCCCCACCATGTGGAACACAGAGTCAAGGCTCAGCCTTTGCTTTCTGGGAGCCGGTAGACAAGGGAGGTGCAGAACTGGAATGACAAATACGTGCAGTGACTGACATTTCCCATCCCGAGCCCGTGCAAATGTTACTAATCGATCACTGTGCTCTTTCCTGCTCAGCTGAGACAGAACCTCAGCAGGCATCAGTAATGGATGGGATGGGTATGTATTTGCCATCCCTGGCCTGGGGATGTTGTGGGGAATTTTTAAAGTAATGGGAACAAGTAAGTCTCTTTTTCTGGGATAGTTCAATAACTAGAGACAGGGGAAGAGACTGCTAGGTCCTTGGAGACTTCTTCCAGGTCAGGAACTCTGTAATTTGGAAATTTAACATTATACTGGTTGCCAGCTGGATCCCCTGGGTCTCTGAGGGGCTTGTTTTTCTGGGCGTCATGTTTGTGGTGGGGCTTGTTAGAACCAGGTGTCTCTTTGTCCTGAAGCTACTGTTCCTTAGAATGACTCAGGACTGGGGTGGTGAGGGGTGGGGGAAAATGATGGGACCAGGGACTTGTTCTAGTTTCTTCTGGGGACCTTGGGAGCCTCAGACAGTGGTAGTAGACAACTCTTATCATACAGATATAGACAGTGATAGCAGCTACCATTTATGGAGCACCGTAAACCGTCACATTCAAATCTAACAGCTTTTGAGATAGGCACTGCTGTCATCCCCACTGTACAGATGAGGAGACTGAGCCTAAGAGAGGTTTCATAGCTCGGCCAGTGTGGCTCAGTGGTCGAGCATCGACCCATGCACCAAGAGGTCACCGGTTCAATTCCCATCAGGGCACATGCCCAGGTTGTGGGCCAGATCCCCAGTGGGGGGCATGCAGGAGGCAGCCAATCGATGTTCTCTCTCATCGATGTTTCTATCTCTCCCTTTCCCTTTCTCTCTCTCTAAAACCAATAAAGAAAAAAAATATTTAAAAAAAGAGAGAAGTTTTATAACTTCCCCAAGACAACAGAACTGGGATTTGAACCCAGGTTATTTTGACTCTAAAACCAATGCTCTTTATTGTTGTGTTCCATTGCCTCCTGATTGAGGAAAATCTCTATGATTGAAGCTCAAGGAACTAAAAGATTATGGCTGGGGTTGGGGGGGTGGGTAGGAGAGCAATGTTTTGAGTCCGGGACAGGAGCAAAGCTGGGCTCCTTTTATCACAGTGGCACTAGGAGGTGGTAATGGGGTGGGAGGCAGGGAGTAAGTAGGTCGGTTTGGGTGAGACCTTGGCAGGACTTTCAGCCTGGAATGGGGCTAAATGATTTCCCTTTGACTTTTTAAAAATTTAATCCCAAGATGTTTTTGCAAATGGTTCAGTTTCTATTAGGCAGAGTAGTTCTGCCCGTTTTTTAGAAGGGAAAACTGAGGCCACAGGAGACTGTAAACGTGGCATGGGTATCCTGGCCACATCCTCCCTCCTCTGCTCTGACTGGGTGTTTGGCTGCTGTGCGTGGGGTAAGGCTAGGGACAGGGACAGTGCAGCCCAGTGATGGGAGCCCCAGTTGGGACCAAAGCTCAAGAGGCCTCGTTCAGACCCTGTGACTTTGGACAAGTCTCGGACCCAGAAATTAAGGCTTTGCTAGGCTGAGGGTAGATACAGGGAAGAGAACTTGAGTTCTGGAATCAGCCGGAGCAGAGTGTTCTCTCTTCCCCCTTCCTTCAGGCTGCCTAACTTCTGATCCTTTAGGTGCCTTTGCTGTGTGGTCCTTGGCTCACTGCTTGATGTCTCTGAGCTTCCTTTGCTTCACCTGTGAAATGGGAAAGCTAATCCCTGCCACTGCTGGGAGGCCTGGGTGAGAGTGGTGGGGGAGCAGTCAGCAGAGTGCCAGGCGTGGATCCAGTCGCCTACCGTCAGGGGTCCTGAGTTCCTCTCACCCTGCTGCACGCCGGTCTCTGAGCTCTGACACTGAGCACTACGCCCAGTGGCCAGGCTTCCCTCGGAGGCCAGTGTTCAGAAGAGGCAGCACCAGCCTTTGCATGTGCCCCTTTGCTCCAGGCCCTACCCAGCCCAGATACACCCCAAGGCCATTGCCGGTCTCTTCATGGAGGACATTCAGTTCTAGCATGTATTGTCACCTGCGGTATGTAGGCTTTGAACCATGTGTGTGATGCAGCGATGAATACAGCACTGCCTCGACCCACCCCCAAAGGAGATCAGAGTCCGGGGGGAGGCCTAGACCTGGGGGCAGGTGTGCAGCAAAGGCTGCCTAGAGGAGCCGATGCCTGAGCTGTGACCCGGTGAAGCGGCGGACAGGAGGGCATTCCAGGCAAGGGAAACACATATGCAGAGACCTGGGGAGAGGAAGCAGGGAACCGTCTGGGGAACTCCAGGAAGTATGGAATGGCGGGGTGAGGCTAGAGGGGCCCAGTCCTCAGCCGAGTTTCCCTTGCAGATTATGGGGTCCTCGTGGGTCCTCTGAGGAGCTGTACTTTATCCCGCAGTGAGTGCATTGAAGCCAGAGTGCTGTGACTGGGTTAGGGTTTTAGAACCTCCCCCGGCTGCTGGTGGGGATAGGATTTGAGTAGGAGGTGGGGGGAGGAATGGCCTGGTACCTGTCTGTCACCTCCAGTCGCTGGGGTGCCTGTGAGACTGCAGAAGGGCAGGGTTTGGGGGCTTGTCCTGTTGGGAACAGAGAGGCAGGGTGATCGCAGGGAAGTGTGCCTGGGAGCCTGAATGATCTGGGCACCCTAGGAGAGGGCCTGACCTACCTGGGCCTCAGTGTCCAGGCTTTACCAAAAACCTTGCCTGGAAGGTTTGACTCTGAGATCCTCCTGGTGTCTGATCTTCCACGGGTAAACCTGGAGATCTGACTGCGAGTGAAATCCCGACTTAGGGGTCAAGGGCAGGCTCAGGGCCGGGAGAGCCTCCCCAGCCTTCTCTCTCCTTTCCCTCCCCCAGCCTGGCCTCTCCTCTCTTCTGAATGAAAGACCCAGAGGACCACTCTGCACAGGCCACCTGCTGTTTTCCCCTGGAAATTACAGGCTTGGAAGTTTTTTATTTGCCTCTGGGCTCATTTCTGACATTCCTTTCCGACCACAGTGGAGTTGCCTGGGCTGCCTGGGCTCAGGGCCCCCCTGACTCTCACAGCTGTGGGTTGACCTCATCTCAGCCGGTGCCAGGGCAAGGGCCCGGGAGGGGCTGGGCCTGGCCATCCTCTAGGACCCGGGCCGGCAGCGAGGGAGACTCGGCTGACAGGGCTTCTGCTCCTCGTCCCTCACCCCTCTTGGGTTCTCAGTACAATGTCTAGAGGAGTCCAGATGGGGCTTCGGGGCTCTTCCTCCCCAGCTTTCCCCAGTGTGTCTAGGTGTGGTGGGGTTGGGGTGGGCACCCGTGTCGCAGATAAAGACCCTAAAGCCCAAGGAAGGATGGTGACCCTGGAGAGGATTCCTCTGTGCTGGGAGTGATCGAACGTGGTCTTCAAGCCCCTGAGCAGTGGGGTACCCTCTCCCCTGCTTCTCGGGCCCTCGGGAAAATGGAAACCGCCCGCAGCGACAGGGCGGAATGACGCGGAGAGAAGGAGTCCTCCCCGTGACGATGCAGACTCTTCCGCAGACCATCCCCTCCTGCGCAGGGAGGGGGCTGCGGGGTTCCCTTGGCTCCAGTCTGCCTGTGCTGCTCCCACCGCGCACTTAGCAGCTTGTTATCCCGTCTGCTGCCGCCCCCGCCCCTCCCCTGGCCCCCGTCAGGCCACTCTGCCCAAAATAGAAAAGGAAAGGAAGTTATTTCCACAGGCAGCGGCAGCCCAGCCGGAAAAGCTCCCCTCCAGTGAGGGGGCTGTGGGATTCCTGGAGCTGGAGATCAAATCAAAGCCAGGCCCCAGAGCCAAAGTGCCCCCACCGCCCCCGGCCCTCGGCTGCCTTCTGTGTGTGTCACTTCCCTGATTCAGCAGAACACGTGTCCTGCGGTTGCCACGCTGCAGGCCACCAAGGAGCTGCGGGGAGCTCCTGGCGGGGCCCCAGGCTGCCCTCAGGCCTAGGGCAGCAGGACCGGAGCCAGGGGATCAGGGAAGGCACAGGCTGCTGCCTTTCTTCCTCTCCTTCCCTCCTGGCTGTTGGCCTCTGCCCTGGCACAGGGCTCCTGCCAGGCCTCTTGCCTGTGAAGATCGGCCCCTGAGCGCCCCCTGGAACAAGAACCCTTCTGCCCTCCTGTCTCAATGTGCCTTTTCAGAACCTTGTTCAGGACAGCCCGCCGAGGGGCTCCCACGCTTTGGCAGGGAGGTGGCAGTTTCTAGATGAGGAAGTGAGTCCCAGAGGGGAGCAGGTCTCACCCAAGACCACCCTGCTGGCTTGTGGCTGTGCCAGAGCTGGAGCCAGGATGTGCTCTGCTCTCTAGGGATCCTGGTGTCCCCGTGTCCCCCCACCCTGCGTGATGACATTCAGGCCGGCTGGGCTGCTGGTGGCTTATATGTCTGTTCAGGGGAGCACACCTGTTACTCAGCAGCCGTGAGCTCACGCTGTGCTAGGTGCTAGTGATACAAGCGTGAAGGGGCACGGTCCCTGCTATCTTTAGAGGACATTCACAAACACCGACATCTGAATCCACAACGCCCAACACAGGCGCTGTGGACCGAGAGCTCCACAGGCTTAGAGACCTCGAGGGCACAGTGGTTGGAGAGCAGTGACCATCGGGGCCGCAGGAACCTAGGCCCAGGCCTGTCGGGAAGACCAGCTGGAGCGCTGGGCCTTCGGGCTGGGAGCGGCGAGGCCGTGGGAAGCAGGAGTGCCATTCTGAGCAGGACCCTGGGTGATGGACTAGGACACCACGTCTGGGCCTCACTGTTCCCTCCTCATTGTCACCTGTCACCCTCCAGCATCGATGTGCTGGGCTCCGCACCTCCTGCCAGCCAGAGGCGCTATCGGAACTGGAACCCGCCCCTGCTGGGCAACCTGCCCGATGACTTCCTCCGCATCCTGCCCCAGCAGCTGGACAGCACACAGGTAACGGTGGATGCCGCCCCTGCGCGCCTCTGCTCGCCCACAGTTCGGGCCAGCTCCGTTCGCTTTCTGAGGTTCAAGCTCAGGCCCGGCTCTTTCTGTTGCCCTGGGTTTGTAGGGAAAGAATGCTGAAGCGAAAGCCTCATTTCCTGTCTGGGCCTGGAGGTTTCCTGTTCCAGCCAGGGAAGGTGACAGCCCTGAGAGACTGGCTACAGCCATCACCCCAGGCTTGAGGGAGGTGGGCATGGGGACAGACAATGGCGGAGGGCCAGGGCACCTTCCCTTTCCTGGTAAAGGGCCAGAGACCGCCTCTCCCCACCGGTTGGCATGTCCCAAGGCATTCTTGTAGAGGGGTGTCACCCTGAGACAGCCGGTGCAGAGACAGTTTTGAGTTTGGGGATCACCTTCCAGGACTATTGAGGTTGTAGGTAAAGGGATAGGGTGGTCCAAGAGAAAGGAAAAGTCGCTTCTAAGTCCTTGCTGCTTCCCCAGCAGAGAGGACTCTGGCCGTGTAGTTGGATTCGGGCCTGTGACTAGATCCTGAAAGGAGGTGCAGGCCCCAGGGTGCAGCTGGAAGACCCTGGGGGAGGACATGTGTTCACCTAGATGTGCACAGATGTTTATGCACCGTGTGTCCTTGTGAATAGGCATTCACATGCGCGATCTCCTCCTCAGGGCAACCCTGGGGGCTCCAAGACCACCAGCAGAGAGGGAGGCCTGCCCCCCACATCCGGGCCCGGGCCCGGGGACCAGGAGAGCCGCTGGAAGCAGTACCTGGAGGACGAGAGGATCGCGCTCTTCCTGCAGAATGAGGAGTTCATGAAGGAGCTGCAGCGCAACAGGGACTTCCTGCTGGCACTGGAGAGAGGTGGGGCACCCCTGCGGCCCTGCTCTGCCGCCCTTCTCGGGGGCTGAAGGAGTGGCTGCTCTCGGCTGTCGCCTTGGGGCTTAGGAGAGGCAGGGAGCTGGAGGCCAAGGGTGGCATCCGAACTGTTGAGACATGGTCCCCAGCACAAGATCCTTGTGGGAGCCCCAGAATCCTGCCAAGGGGGACCAGCTGCCCCTTCCCCTTCTTCCATGTTCAGAGGAAGAGAGTGTGCCCTCTCAGGCCCTCTCCTTCCCCCAGACACGGGCCTTGCCACAATGTCTGGTGCTCCAGGAACAGTGACGGGTCCGTGGGTGCCAGCGTGGGAGCCTCCCTGAGTGGAGGATGTTAGAGCAGGGGTTCATGGGTTTTGGGGGTGTTCAGGTGGTCCTTGGCCCAGGGACCCTGCTCTCTAGCCTGGCTGCCTTTCCCCTTCAGGGTGAGAGCGTGTTGGGGTGCAGTTTAGCGAGAGGGCCATGAGAGGTCTGTCTCACAGGTCCCAGTGGCAATGTGTGTGTGTGACTGACAGCGTGTCACAGGGAGGTGTGCAGGGAGAAGGGCAGGCTGAGACAGGCCCAAGGCCAGCCCCAGCTCCGCAGCAGAAGTGCTGGGGGTCTCGGAGCCTTTCCTTGTAACGAGGGGGCTGGACTATACGATCTCTCGGGTCTTCCCGATTGTGACACGCTGCCATTTCAGTGCTTGTCAGGGCAGCAAGTCCTGTGATATCGCCGGTTCTTTGACAGCCAGCAGACGTGTGTGTGTGCACGTATTTCGTGTGTGCTTGTGTGCAAGCCTGGGGCTTGGCTTCCAACCACCGCCTCGGTCTCAGCCCAGGCGCTAACTTCTCTGACCTGAACGTGGTCCTTTTCCAGATCGATTGAAATACGAGTCCCAGAAATCCAAGTCCAGCAGCCTGGCTGTGGGAAATGACTTTGGCTTTCCCTCTCCTGCCCCAGGTAACCTTGCCTTCCTGGGAGAGAGGCCTGGAGGGCACAGGGGCTCGCACCCCAGCTGTGCTTTGCATGTTTGGAGTTGGGGGTAGGGTGAGGGAATGGGCTGGCGGGAGGGTCTGTGTCCCCACCACTCTCGCTGTGGAGTGAGACGGTCCCTCCACTTAGCAGCCCTGAGTCTGTACAGTCCAGCGGCTGCTGGAGCCCACAGCTGCGGTTGGCCAGCAGGCTAGCGGAACTCCTCAGCGGTATCTGGAACATGGGCATGAATGGCACATGCCACACTACATGATGTCCCGTGTGGGGAGGACGGGCAAGGGCTCAGAGACTTACAGGCCCTGGTCTCTGCCCTGGGGGAGCTTACGGAGATACATCCAAGAAATGAGTAGACCAGACCAACAAAGCTGAGGACACACTGCTGGTTATAGCAAATGTATCGGAAGGAGAAGGGCGGGATCAGTCTGGGAAGGGGTCACGCATTCGTTCATTCGGTAGTTGGGGCATATCTGCCGTGGGCCAGGCCCTGCCCTCTTACTGGAGGAAGAGACGTTTGAGCTTCATGTGTAAGATGGTGCAAAGCAAGAGCCCTAAGCGGCTGAAGCAGGGCCAGGGGTAGACAGCAGCTGCTGGGACACACAGACAAGGGCCAAGCTGGGAACATGGGGCAAAGAGGCCGAGAGACCCCTGTTCCACACTCGACATCTGGGCTTTGCCTATGTATGTGCATAGTGGCTCCTCGTCAGCCATAACGCTCCGCACACACGCCTCAGAGCCAGAATCCACAGACCGTCCATGGCGCGGGGGAGGGGGGCAGGGGAGCTCAGCTGATTCTGGCTCGGAGGAGAAAATCCTGTGGATCTGATTCACAAGCCACAGGCTGGGAGCTCAGGCCCCACCAGATGTATATCTGAGGGTTTTAACAGCAGCCTCTGTCCTTGATCCTGACTTAACCATAGATACTAGGGCCACTGAGATGGATCAGAATGACTCACAGGGGACTTAGCAAACACTGTGATTCGGATTAGCCGAGTTGCAGGGTAGAGAGCAGGGGCTTTCAAAGGGCTATAAGAGACCCAAGTGGGTGCTGAGTAGGGGCGGGGACTCGGGTGGCCAGCTGGGCGCTGACATTGGGACTAGCCCCATGCTCATTCCTCCTCACTGTCCACGCAGTTAGAAACTTCATGTCTGGGGGAGAAGTGGAGGGACTGACCTGGAGGGAAGGAGGCAGGTCCACCACGGGTGAATGCCTCCGCTGCACCTCCCACTACCTCTTTAAGTCTCACACCCGGCGGGATGCAGGCAGGTTCCCCAGGGCTGTGAGTGTGGTCGGGTGCGAGGGAAGGCTAGGTGTGCAATCTGGTGATCTGCATGGTGGGAAAAATTCCCACCACGGCTGATTTCCAGCTACCAACGTGACTTCAGGGATGTGGAGCTGATCAGAGAAGCAGCTGGCCAGGAGCCCATGGGAACCATTTCTCCACACATACAGCAGACCATAGGACTGTCCCTCTTTTTTCTTTTTTTCTTTATTTTTTTATCCTCACCCGAGGACATTTTTCCATTTTTTGTTCAGATAGCGTAGGAGGAAGAGAGAGAGAGAGAGAGAAACATCGACGTGAAAGGGACGCATCGAGTGGTTGCCACCCACACGACCCAGCCAGGGCCGGGGACAAACTGCAACCGAGGTATGTGCCCTTAGCGGGAACTGAACCCGTGTCTCTCTGGACCGCAGGCCGATGCTCTAACCGTTGAGCCAAACCGACCAGGGCTCTTTTATATATTTTTTAAGATTTTTAAAATTGAGTTTTACAGAGAGAGGGATGGAGAGCGGGGAAGAGAGAGAGAGAAACATTGATATGAGAGTGAAACACGATCGGCCGCCTCCGGCACATCCCCTACCAGGGATTGAGCCCAAAACCCAGGTGTGTGCCCTGATCAGGAATCTAACTGGCAACCTTTTGACGCATGCGACACTCAATGAACTGAGTCACCAGCCAGGGTGGACTGTCCCTCTGTTTAGAGGAAGAAAGTGAGGCTCAGGCAGGGAAGTAAGTGCCCCTCAAACCCCAAGAGTGCTCCTAGCTTCAAGCTCCATCCTGGGTAAGGAAGAAGCCTGCTCTTTGCTTCCTTCCTCAAATAGCAGGACTGGGCTGAACCCCTGTCCTTCGGGGCAGCCCTGACCCACCTCCTGGGGCCTCGGGCAGACACTCTTCCTCGCTGGCTGGCCCTCAGAGGTGTCTCCCCCATCCAGGAACCGGTGACGCCAACCCTGCTGTGTCTGAAGATGCCCTATTCAGGGACAAGTTGAAACACATGGGCAAATGTGAGTCCAGCCCATGTACCCTTCCCAGATCTCCTCAGACAGGCCCTCATGGGCGGGAGGGGGCCCCCGGAATTTTTTATGCAGCTGACTCTTGGTGAACTGAAGTGACACTTTAATCGTCGGCTGGCTCCCTGAGCCTTCTTGCCTCATCTCCCTCTGCAGCTGAGTCTAGAGACAAATTAAGTTTTAAATCCTCCTGAGCCAGCTGTCTGCAGAAAAATAATGTGCTACACCCACCCCCACCCCAAGTTTCAGTATTCTCTGCGGCTTGCGGGGACTTAGCCGGGCCTGAGTGGGGAGGCGTTCGCTAAACCCACTTTCTGCAGGTGGGAGGCTGCAGGGTCTGTGACCTCTTCCCACAAAGTGCTGCCAGCCAGTATCCCTTCCCCTGCCCGGCCTCCCCACCGCACCCCACAGACAGCCATGCGGAGCGGGGCTGCCTCCTTTCAGGCTCCACTTCAAGGAAAATCTGGGATTAGTCACGGAAATCCCAGAACCATCTCTGGAGGTGGCGAGGGGAGGGGGAGGCGGCGGGAAAGAAAGCCAAGATGCATTGCTGTTTGTCAGGCCCAGAAGGAATACCTAGATCTCGGCTGCCAGCTGTCCCCGGTCCAGCTCCCGGTAGCCTGTGCTGCCCCTGCAGGCCAACCCAGGATGGCAGCCTCAGTCCCTGGGGGCAGCAGCCTGGCATCACCTCCCCAGCTCCCTGGGCCCCGCCCTGGTGGGGATGAGCCGGTGTGCCCCAGCCTTCCCTGAGCCCTCGTTGGTGGGCAGCTCCTGGTGCTCCAGCGGCTGGCTCACGAGTCTCTCTGCCCCCAGCCACTCGGAGGAAACTGTTTGAACTGGCCAGGGCCTTCTCCGAGAAGACCAAGATGAGGAAGTCAAAGAGGAAACACTTGTTGAAGCATCAGCCGTATCCTTTCTGGCCTGGCACTGGGTGCGGTGGTAGGTTCCAGGGGCACCGAGCCCCCGGGCTGGGCTCCCTGAGGCTGCACGCTCCCCCAGCAGTGGGGCCGGGCTCTGCAGCCTCCCCCTCTCCCCGAGCCCCGCCAGACTGCTGCCCATCTCTCTGTGCCAGTCTCGACCACATGATCAGGCTTGGGGAGAGGGCCAGCGTCTTCCATCCCCCACCTCCCTTCTGGAGGCTCAGAAGTTGTCCTTCTGCCTTTGTACTTTTTGTCTGGAGGAAACTACATCTTGGGAGGGAACTTGGTTCTTTCACTGAAATCAGCAAACTTTCCCTGATAATCTCCAGTGAACTGATCTCAGATCGCCTTTTCAAGCATGTTGGCCCTGCCTCCTCACTGTCAATTCCTCGAATAAAAATGAGGTTTTCCACGTTTTTACCCAGGCTCCCATCGCTGAGTGTCAAACAGGGTCCAGGACACTGCAAGCTGAACAGCCAACGGGGAATGGAGAGAATCACTTCTCTCCCCAGGATGGGAGCTGGGGGAGAGCCAGGGTCTGGCTGCTCAGCTGACTCCAAGGAAAGGAGCCTGGGGGAGGAAGGATTCTGGGGAGTGTTGGGGGCCTAAGGCTGGTGTGTGGAAGCTTCCTGAGCTTGGAGTGGCGGAGGACTAGGGGCAGGGAGTTGGAGTTCTACGGCAGTGCCTACCCATCCCTGGGACAGTTTTCCTGAACGGCCGGCAGGCTGGGGGCCGCTGCGTCGACAGCCAATCTCCTGGACGACGTGGAGGGCCACACCTGTGGTGAGGCATGGGGGTGGGGAGCTCGTCTCTAAGTTGCCTGTGATCCCTCTAAGAAGAGGCCTGGGTGTTTCACGGGTGACACATCAAGGGTTGGTGGGCAGGTGCCCCAAAGAAATGGGTCCTCCCACCTGGACCACATTGCCTCTCCACCCCTGAAAGGGAGCCCCCCACACACCTCCACCCAGATCTCTTGCTGGAGCACCAAGGGCCGGTGCTCTTGCTGGGGAAATCCTCCCTGGTGTGTGAGGGGCAGACAAGCTCTTGAGAACCAAGCTCTGGGCAGGTGTTCATCCAGCCCCTCCCAGAGGCCACGTGGACAGAAGACGCTGCCTCAGACCCCCCAGATCCACAGCCAAGCCCTGACCTCTAGGCCTCAGCTAGAGGGACCTAGACAGTGGTCAGGAGACATCTGGAAACAAGGGCTTGAAGGGCCTTGGAGGTCATCTGGATAGTCCAGCCTCCCTGTCCCACTTTATAGATGAGGAAGCTGAGGGCAGATCTTGCCCAAGGTTTTGGAGTCGGGTGGAGCCAGGCTAGCAGACAGGTGTCTGCATCTGCACTGTGCCCTGCTGCCTTCTCACAGACCCCTCTCCCCCAGGGGTGCATGTGCCACCGCAACCAGGGGCAGGCTCTTGCTCAGCCTGGGGACGTGCCTGAGCACGGACATACTGGGTGGAGGGTGAGGCAGCTTCACTCTGCTTTTCAGATGACGACTTCCGGGGAAGGCGACAGGAGGTACCCAAGGTGGAGGAAGCCCTGAGGGAAGGACAGTGAGAGGTAAGGCTTGGAGCTGCCCAGGCGCTGCCTGCCCACAGCCTGCGTGTCTTCGCAGGAGTCCAGAGGCATCAGCTCAAGAAACCAGACAGTGCAGGCTCCGGGTTTCTCCCCTCAGCACGGTGACCGGGGACAGGGCTTCTGCACGGAAACTAGTCTTTTGCATTTCTTTTACTTGCTTATTTATTCATTTGATGAAAGATAATTATACCTGCCGATGCCAGGTGCTGGGGACGGGATAAACATCAGCTTTGCTCTCGAATAGTTTATGGCCGAGTTGAAAAACAGTCCAGGACACACAGCACACGAAAAGACAACGTAAGAAAAACCCAGAACTCTCCCTTTGGCAGCTTGGGGTGGGCGGGGTAGCATTGGCCACAACAGATGAGGAAACAGCCCCTCTCAGGGCAGCTGTTTCTGGCTGGAGCCCTGGCCCCCAGGCTGCTTTTCCTCCTCTCTTCTGTGCATCCTGGGGAGAAAGAGGGAACGTCAACACCCTCCGGGACTCTTCCAACCCCTCCCCCCACCAGGAAGCTGCCTGCCTGTCCTCCCCACAGCTGCTGTCCTGCTCCAGTGGTCAGCATCTGCAAGGCTTTCTTGAGCTCACAGTGTGGCAGGTATGGCCCTGTTTCAGACTGTGCAGACACACCCTCAGGATGGCTGTCATGGAGAAGAGACAAAGCAGTGTGCAGAGGACACAGCCAGGGACACTTAGCAGTGCCCTCTCCCTGCAGCCTGGGCGGCCGGCCTTCACGTCACCCCTGGTTGACTCCCACCACATCCCCCACTAGGCACTTCCAGACCGTTTCTTCTCAGAGGCTTTCCTTACCCACGGAGCTGCACCCACACTTCTCACTTCTCCGGAAGGCTCACGTAGAACCACAGGAGAGGCCCGCACTCCCACTCAATGTTGCTGCCGTCTCCTTCCCATGGGTCCCCAAAGGCACTCCTGCATCAGGACCTCGCCCATCACCTCTCTCCTGAGTCTTCCTGCTTTTCCCTTTCCTGCTCCTTCCTCAATCTACACCCTCCTCTTCCCTGTCTGAAAAATTACCCAACTTGCAAAAAAGTGACATCCTCCTTCACCCATTGCAAGTTGGCAGCCCCTCCCACCAGCCCCAGATTGACACCTGCCAGGTCCAGGGCCGTTTCCTGTGCTGTGTCGTCTGGTGCTCTCCTGCATGCTGTCCTTTTATTTATTTATTTATTTTTTTAGAGAGTGAGGAAGAGAGAGAAACATTGATGTAAGAAAGAAATATCAATTGACCGCCTCCCACACGCCCCCTACTGGGAATTGAGCCTCATGCCCTATTAGAACCGGGACCTCTCAGTCCATGTGAGGATGCTCAGTCCACTGAGCCACACGGGCCGGGCCCCATGGTCGTTCTTGAAACTGCCCTCCCTTGGCTCCCATGGCCGCAGAATCCTGGCCCTTCTTCCTCTCAACTCTGTTCTCAGGGTCCTTTTCGGTCTCCCGTTACTCCTTTAGTTCCTCAATCCCATCTCTCCTGGTAGCTCTGCCCTTGACCCTCTTTGAAATATTCTCACTCCCTACAGCATCATCAATACTTTTACAGTATCAGCAATACTTCTGGAATCTCCATCTCAGTCTGTCCCCCCCAACCCTCTCCGGAACCCCAGCTACACCCACAATTGCCTTCCTAGCTCTAGATGTCAACTCACGGAAGGCCAGCCTCTCCCCCTGACTTCCCCACTTCATTTCTCTTCCTTTCCCTTCTCATCACCTGGCGAACAGCCACTGGCCTCTTCATCGCCCCGCTCTGTTCACGCATCACCACAACACATGCACTCCATTCATCCTTGCTCCCTGAGTGGGTCTTCTGAGTACTAAAGGCTTACGAACTCCTCAGGCCGGTGTGTGGGGCCCACCAAAGTCTGACCCCCATTTACTTTGCTGCTGCTACAGGTGCCCTTAGTCTGGCTCATCTGAGCTACTACAGGATCACAGAAGAGCTGGGCGCTTCCTCACCTCCCGGCCCTTCTCACGCAGTGGCTCCCACAGGAATTCCAGCCCCTCACTCCCTCGTTCGCTGCCAGAGTCCCTGGTGTTCTGCACATGGACCATTTCTAGGAACCTGGAGTGTGTGTGTGTGTGTGTGTGTGCGCGCGCGCGTGTGTGTGTCTCCAGGCAGAGTTCCAAAGCGGACACAGTCCCCAGAGGAAAGAGGATTTCTGTCTTTGGTAGCTTCTGCCCCAAACCATCTCTCCAGGAACCAGTGATGAAAGACCACTGGGCTTCATTGAAAAAGACTTCTCCCATCCTTTCTCCTTACCAGATGACAGCAGTTGCTCCTCGCTGGAGATGGTCTGACCCGGTGGAGGCAGCCGGAGAGCAGTTCCGGCCATCAGTTGAAGAGCCTCGCTGTAGCCGGACAGATGGTGCTTGAGTACCAAGGCCCAGTGAAGCTCCAGCACAGTCCAGCCCAGCCACTGCCACTTTCAATGGGACTTAGAACTTCGGAGTTGCATGCTGTGATTGGAGGAAGGACCTGGGGGTGGGGGTGGGGGGGCGGCAACGTTCGACCAGGGCCCCTTTTGTAGCCAGGCTGTTCTATGGGCAATGAGTGGAAATGCAGGATCCAACCCCCTTCTGAAAAAAAAAAAATCCATTAACAGGCAAAGGTTGGAGTGCCACAAAGGGCAGGATGACCCTACCGGAGGCTCTTTGGCCTGAAGATAGAGGCTTTACCTCCCCCCTTCCCCGTCTCCCCTGCTGGGCCACAGACACTGCCCGAGCCCCTACCCCATTCCCAGCCCCCTTCTGGGCACTTTGAGCCCGTTATTTCCACTGTCTCCTGCACATCAGCCTTTTTCTGAGGCCGCCCTTTGGCACAGACGCGCACAGAGCCCAGGTGGGAGAGCCCTGGGCAGTCACTTGGCCCCTCTGGGGAGTACGGGCCACTGAAGAGAGGTATCTGTTGACTGCCCTGCCTGGGCCCCTCAGGCTGCCTCTGTTACAGGCTGGCACGGCCCCAGCAGGGATGGGGAGGGTGGGCACCCCGGAGCTGGAGGACTCTGGTTAGGCAGGGTACTGTGGGCAAGGTGCAGAGGCTGCCAGCCTGTGTGGGCTCGCCTGGGGCAGAAGGGCTTGCTGGGTGCCCCTTGCGAGGAGCGAGAAGGTGAATGATCCGAGGAGGAAAACTCCGGCCCTACGGACCTTACCCGGCATCAACCACTGCCAAGGGGAGGGAGACCCCCGTCTCCCCGGCCCCGCCGTCCGGATGGGAACGCGCCGACCTCCTGGGAGACCCGGGAACCCTGGGCAGCCCAGCCGTGCGGGACCGGGAGCGGGAGCCAAGCCTTTTCGGGGCCCGGGCGGCCTCAAGTCACCCTGAGATAATGAGGGCGGAGCGGGCGCTCAGGTCCGCAGGCGGAGGCCACCCCGCGCTCGCACCTCGTCCGCCCGCGCCACCACCGCGGCGCGTGACTAGGTTCTAGGAAGGTCGCGGGCGAGCCCTTCCCCAGGGGCGTTGCACCTCCGGCCGGACGTGGCCCCCAACAGGCGCCCCTGGCCCTCGCCCGAGCTCCCCCTGGGTCTGACCCGGGGCGAGGAGGGGCCTCTGGGCCGTGGCCCTGGCCTCTCCACGCTGCGACCCGGCGCACCGCGGGGAAGCCCCAGCCCCACGTCTTGTGTGTGTTGCTTTGTTAGTGTTTTTCTTTTCTCCCCTTTTTTCCTATGTGTGGGTTTTCCCTTGGGGCCGTTTCATAGGAATCCCTGTAATAAAGACCTGGTATTCTCCTGGTGCTCTGATGTGGCCGGCGCCGTGGGCCGACCCTTCTCTCTCCTTTGCCCTGTCGCGCAGGGTGTGGCCCCGGGAGCCCCGAGTCGCCCCCGTGGGCCGCGCGCCTCACTCCCCATTAAAGCCGCAGCGTCTGTACGGCCCAGAGAGCTCAGACCTCTGCAGTGCACTGGCGAGGAGACACCTGCCGCCGCCATGCCGACCTGCTGGCTTTGTTCTGCCAGGTGGCCTTCCTATTTACCCTGGGAAAGCACGCCGCTTGCTGATAGGCAAACACCGACAGGAAAGCCAGCCTTTGGCAACAGCTCCAGCTTGTCACCTTAAACAAACAGAAAGCTTCTAGAGAAAAGGCGGGACTGGAGGCTGGAGGGATGTTCAGGCTCAGATTTCAACGGCCCCGCAGACATCTTCCAGTTCAAATCTGTCTAGTTTTCCCTACTCCCTGGCCCAGCTGGCTGTCTCCCACACCTGGGAACTCACTGCCGAAAGAGAAAGCCGGCGCGCTTTCCCGACGGGGCAGTTCTCAAGGTTAAAATGTTCTTCCTGTGTTGAGCCCAAAGGCCTCCTTGTGGCTTCCACCTGCACATCTTGTTTCTGGGCCTCGGGTCATGCAGGCAAAGGCCACCACTCTTCCCCCTGACGTCATGTTTGAGCTCAGCGGCCTGACCTCTCCCTCAGGACAAACCATGCAGGCTCCTCCTGCCCTCCCTACAAAGTTCTCGCCACACCCTCGGACCCAGGTGGGCTTGTAAATTGGTGTACCCGGGACAGCTGGGGATGCTCCAGACCTGCTGTTTGGACCTGGGTAAACCACGATTATCCTCTAACCCCAGCTCTGTACACTCTTTACTGATACCATGGACCAGTGCCATCCCTGGAACAAAGCACCAACACTGGGACCTTGTTAGAAATGACAATTCTCAGCTCCATTCCAGTCCTGAATCAGCAAGTCTGGGAGTGCAGCCCAGCTTCTGTGCTTCTGTTATATCCAAAGTTTGGGAGCCCTGGTGCCAGGCCAGTACCTACTACTGGCTACACGGTGGAATTACCTGAGTAGTTTCAAACAAACAAACAAACAAAAAACCTGCTGCTCAGTACCCCAGACCAATTAAATAAAAAACATGGCTTGGTTTCTTTTAAAACTCCTCCAGTGATTCAACTTTGCAATCAAGTTTGAGGACCAGAGCACGAAGCAGTCTATTGGGTGTTTCATGTTAGCCCAATTAATCTTGCCTGAGAAATGGTCACTTTACAGATGATGTAATGACAGTGCAGAAAGGTGAAATCACTTATCCAACATCACAAAGCTAGCGAGGTGTGAAACCAGAAAACGGCCCAGGGCTGCCCGACTCCTAAACCTGTGTCCCATCCTCTACACCCCTGCTGCTCAAAGTGTGCGCTGTGGGCCAGCAGCACTGACATCACCTGGGAGCCTGTTCGAAATGCATGTCATCGGGCCTCACTCCAGAGCTCCTGAATCTGAACCTGGGGAGTGTTCTAACAAGCCCTTCAGAGGGTTTGCTACATGCTCACATGCAAGAATCATAGTCCTACAGCCTTGCTGCTCAAAGTTTGGTCTGTGGACCAGGAGTATTGGTGTTACCCGGGAGCTTGTTAGAAACACAGAATTTTGGAGTCTATCCCAGTCCTACTGAACCAGAATGTGCATTTTAACAAAAATTCATCAGGTGACTTGTATGCACATTAAGACTTGAGAAACACTGTTCTAGAGCCCTGGTTCTCTGATGTTTGCATCCCATTCCCAGAGCAGAGATTCTGGTTTAATTGGTTTGGGCTTTAGCCTGGAAATCAGATTGTAAAAGCTCCTCAAGTGATTTGAATATGTGGCAAAGTTTGAGAGCCAGCATTTTGCCTGTTAGTATAGATGAGAATGACAGTGGTTGGAACCAGAGAGGAGGGCCTGGGGGGAGAAGGCAAAGAGGAGTGCAGAGGAGCAGTGTGTGTCGATCCCAGGAAGGAGTCTAGCTGGGCCAGGTGACCTCCCCAGCCACCTGCCCTCACACACCGTGCTCATCTGCAAATCTCGGGCTCTTGGTATGCACAAGGTGATACTCACAGATTTATCTCCTCCAAAAATGCTGATCCAGGATATCTGGAGTCTGGTCCAGCCAGTTCCCCTCCCCTTTTGTATGCTTTGCTGTCCCCAGGGCTCAACCCCAACTTAAGAGAAGGTCATGGAGTCTGGACAATCCTGTGCCCAGAAGAACTGGCCTGGTTATTACCAGGCTGGGGTCTCAACCCTCCCTCTGTTCTTTGAGGCACCTGGTAGGGCATTGAGATCGGAGGAAAGACAGGAAAAGAACTTGTTTGGTAGCAGGTGTGGGATGATGAACGTGAGAGCTGACTGAGTGCTTACTGTATGCTAGTCACTTTTCTGGAGTACTTTAAATATGTTATTTTACCCAATCCCCACAACTACTACATAAAATCAGTATTACTCCCATTTCACAGATCAGAGAACTGAGCCACAGAAATGTTAAAGTCCTTAATTTAACATCACCCTTAGAAAGTGGTAGTACCTGCATTTGAACCCTGGCAGCTGAACTCTAGAACTGGTGCCTAAACAGTAAACTATAGGGTGGGGTGGGGAACAGGTGGTAAGACCTAGAACCCCTGCATAGATGCCATGTGTGGAGCACAGAAAGGTCCACCTGCTTAAAAACATTGCCATCGTGATAATATGACTCAACAGTGTGCATGGAACTCACCTATTAGCATTCTTTATTTGGTTTAAAAAACAATCTCTTACCATTTCCATTACATGTTAAATATGCTACTGAGAGAGGAGCACATGAACCGCTTTTGCCCATTATCACGGCATAGATTGATTTGTTAGATTAGCTGGCTGGGCCAGCTGGAGGAAGATGTGGAAATTTCTGAGAGGGGCAGGAGAGGAGGGTTGAAGGGGACTGTGTAGATCTACTGCCACCTGGTGGTTATCTCTCAGAAGCAGCAGTAGCTGGCTACTGAAGGCCAGATACAGATTTCCCAGAAGGAAGACATGAATACCTGTTTGGCCTGAGGCCAAACAAGGGGAATTTACCGTGTTCACGTCTTATATTTTGTAAAATTGTCTTTTTTCTTTCTTAAAAGGGCCACTAAGATTATACAAGATTCAGGCCTCACACAGCCAGCAAAGTTTCCTCTGCTTGTCATTTCTAGAGAGTCATAGTTCCTCATCAGGTCAAAAGGATTATTCCAGGAACTGTGAGGTAAGGATCTGTGAAGTTCAGATTTCAGGCCTTATTCCAGACCCACTGAGTCAGAATCCGCGTTTCCCAAGAACCCAGGAGGTTCAGGAACACATTAAAGATTGGGTTGCTTTGCCTTCCGCGTCAGCCTGGAACTGGCTGCCTTCAAGGGTCTCACCCCCGCTGGGAAAACTCCAACAGACACATTCCAATAATAAAAGGCCCAGGCCCAGCTGGCTCCTGTTTCCTTGCCTGCAAAAGGAGTCACAGTGATACAGACCTCCCAGGGCAGGTCTAGGTCTCAAGTGCTTCTCTTTCCTCTGCTGAACTCACCCTCCTTGGGTGCAGAGTTGCTGTTTGCTGAAGTAATGAATGGGCAGCCATGTAAAAATGCCTCGCAAATTGCTCCATGTGATTTAATTGTAGGTGTGATTCAATAAATTGTGATTTATTGCTCTTAAGCATGGGGTGGTCAGAAATCGTTATTATCACTTCTATTCATTGAGCAGTTACTACACAGCGGGCACTGTTCTAAGCTCTCTGCAGGTATTAACCCACTGACGCCTCATAACAAGGCTATATAGTGGGTGCTATGATCATGCCCATTTTACAGCAGACAAGGCTGAGGCCCAGAGGTTTGTAAAAGAGATCTGTCCATCAGTGAGGCCAGAACTGGAAATGACCAGGTGCGTGGTGGGGGGCAGGGTAATCTCCATTCAACCACAGCTTTCTCCCTATGGGTGTATCTGGGGAAGGCCTTCGGGAAAAAGAGCTGGGTGTGAGCAGGCAGCAAGGGAGGGCTGAGATGGTTGCATCCTCGTCTGTTCTAACTTGGCTTTATTCATCCGCGCTGTTCACTAGAAAACTCTTTCTAAGAGCCAGCTCTGGGCCAAGCACCAGGCTGGGTGTGAGAGGCAGAGATAAGAGCTCTGGTTCCTGCCCTCAGAGAGGCCCAGTTAGATAGGCTCAGACAAGTAAACAGAGTTACAACCCGAAACTGTGAGAGAGATAAGCTGAGGGAGGGAACACACCCTGGGGACACAGTCACCCAGTCTAGCTGAGTGTCTGCAGGAAACAGCCCGCAGGTGAGATACAGCACCTCCTCCCTGAACACCTCCCTTCTAGCCGATGTACTGCTCCTTGTGCTGTGCATAGAATCTATTCTATTGCCTTTCTTCCCTTTGAAAGCAACAGCTGATTTCCCCTGATCCTGGCTTTCTGCCAAAGGTGAGTAGCAATATTGATGATTTCATCGATATGTGGTGATTTCCACTTACCAAAGCTGTTCTGCTATTGGGCATGCTCTTCCCCTTTTTGTCTGACGAACTCCCAGGCGCTATTTACAAAGCTGTGGGCAGAGTGTAGGGAAACCACAAGGGATGGCCCGGCCGCCAAGGCTGGTAACTGAGGGGAACAGTTTGCTGTGTTTAAGTCTGAAGGGATGAGGGAAGGAAGTGACTGCAACCTGGTGAGAGAGAGTTGTGTGAAGAGGCCATGTGGTGGGAGCTGGGGCTTCATGTCCTGCACTGTACAGGAGGTCAGGGCAACAGAGACTGACTTCACTCTCCGGCTTCCTTCCAGTCCCCTGCCAAAGCCTCCCATTAGCAGTACCAGCTGGAACTCAACTGGGAGCAGAGGGCAGGGGACTAGGGGATGCAGCCTATACAAGTCAGCCTCCTGGGACACAGAGCAGGGTGAGGAAAGGCACGGAGTACATGAGGATCTAGATGGGCAAACGAAAGCTACTCAGCACAAGTACTTACCAATGTTACAGGCTGAGTGGTGTCCCTCCATATGTTGAAGTCCTAGCATCCAGTACCTCAGCATGTGACTGTGTTTGGAGACAGAATCTTTAGAGAGCAGCGTCGGAAGAAATTGACCTGTCAACACTTTGATCTTGGCTTCTAGCTTCCAGAATTGTGAGAAAATAAATTTCTGTTATTTAAGCCACCCAGTCTGTAGTATTTTGTTACTGCTACCCTAGGAAACTATACAATCAATAAGCCATTCAGCACATAAGCTATCAGCTATGAATTTGCCTCTCTGTCCCTCCCACTGGACAGTCAGCTTCTCTAGGACTCAGCACAGGGTCAGGTAGAAGCTTAAATGTTTGTGGGATGGGTGGATCATGTAACAAGAAAATAAAACAATAAGGCAATCTATGAAATATCCTCAAAATGCTGCAGTCCCAGGTGGCGATCTGTGGTTTACAGGACACAACAGCAATAGTGATGCTGTAACAGCCATCAGACTCCTTAGCTGTGGGGACTCACTCTGTGCGCTGTGAGGAGGGCTTTAGAAGAACGATCACTTTCACTCTTGCACAAGCCACGCAGATAGCTGATACTGCCATCCACATTCTAACACATGGAGAAATAGGCTTGAAAAGTTATGGGACTTGCCCAAGGTGACCTGATTGGTGGGCACATCTAGAGGGTGAAAGAGTGGGACTAAAATGGGACCGAGTGGCAGAGTAAAAAGAGTATGATCTTTTGGAGAATTTGTAAGCTCTCTTTCCTCATCTGTAAGATTGTCAGAACATTACCTATGACATCAGGTGGTTGAACAACTGACTGAGAGAACCCAGATTCCTGGGGCTGCATGGTGTGAGTGTACCAGCCCCTTGCAGCCTCCAGAGGCTGTGGTGAGAAGAAAGTGGGCCTCTAATGCCTGCCCCCGCCTGCCTAACAACTTCCTCCCCTATTATGAATGAACATGCCCTGGGGTGCACACTTCCTGTTGTAGGCTCAGAGGGTTCCCAGTACAGCTTTTTTTTTTTTTTTACCCTCACTCGAAAACATTTTTCCATTTTCTATTCAGATAGGGTGAGAGAGAGAGAGAGAGAGTAACATCGATGTGAAAGGGACACATCGAGTGGCTGCCACCTGCATGACCAACCAGGGCTGGGGATAAACTGCAACAGAGGTATGTGCCCTTAGCAGGAACCGAACCCGGGTCTCTCTGGACTGCAGGCCGACACTCTAACCGCTGAGCAAAACCGGCCAGGGCGGTTCCCAGTACATCTTGCCCCCACATCTCCATGGTCCCCCTACTGTACCGGACAACATTCTGCTCTCTCTGTCACAGAATGATTAGATATGATGCTGAAGGGGAGATTTTAAAGGCTTGGGAAGAGGAGAGAACTTCTTTAAGAAGATCTAGAGAGAAAATTCTTGCCTTGCAATTCCCCTCCTAGGGAGGGCTTGGGTCTTTGGGTTCCCTCCCTGAACTTGGAATAAACCCTTCTAATTCGTTAGCAGGGTAACTGCAGTGCCTCTGGGGGCAGGCCTGAGTGGGAGAAGGGCTGACAACTGGCTCTGACTTGGACAGAATTAGAAACTTGTTATGAGGCCTGGGAGGACTATATTTAACTGGGAGTGTGTTTGCTCTCCTTCTAGCAAAGCCTTCCAGACCTTCTTAGGACTGGGAGGTGGGAGCAGCCAGAGCTGTGCTCTCTTCTGTTCCGAAGGGTCCTGCGGCAGCAGTGACACCCACCTCTCAGTTTAGCCCTGGGCCTCAAATCACCCTGTCCCCTGACCCCGGGGACAGTTTGCCTGACGCCCTCTGTTAACTGGTCTCCAGCTTGAGGCACAGCTGAGGAAGCAGTGTGGAGTTCTGGAAAGAGCCCAGCCTGGGCTGTAAGCTTGGCTGTGTCAGTTACCTATCCGACAAGTTATTTAACTCCCTGAGGTCTCACTTTCTAATCTATAAATAAGATAATAATAGCCACCTAGTGGGTAGGCGTGTGGATTCAACAAGATAACACAAACCAGCAGTAACTACTCATCACACATTCCTTTCCTCCTCCTCACCCACCTCCCATGGAGCAGGAAGGCCCAGGGATAACTTGATGCTCTTTCTTGCGGAGAAGATAATGGGCTCCTGGGAGATATTTTGTGTGTATGTGATCCAAAACATTTCATTGGATTAAAAAGTTCATATATAGCCCTGGCCGGTTTGGCTCAGCGTCGGCCTGCAGACCAGAGAGTCCCGGTTTGGTCCCCACTAGGGGCACGTACCAAAAAAAAAAAAAAAAAAAAAGTTCATATATAAATGCAAAGTCTTTACAGGTCAAATTCTGAGGGATAAAAAAAGAAAATATTCTCCCTTCCCCTCCTGCAATTTTACTGGAGACCACCAATGTTCACAGCCTCGTGTGTCCTTCCATAAGTTTCTATCCTCATACAAACACAAACACACACACTGTAAAGTGTTTTCTTTTTAACAGGTTAGGGTCCCACTAAAGGTGTTTCTCTGAAACTTCCTGTTTCATTTAACTATAAGTCATGGGCATCCATCTAGGTACATACATATCTAGGTAAAAACCAAGTCGTTTAATAGCTGCATTAGATTCCATAGAATATATGAACCATAATTTTCCAGCCATATCCCACTAGCCAGATTTAAAAAATTTTTTTACCACCACAAACAATGCTGCATTGGCGACCCCTGCATAAATGTCCCCATGAAATTGTCCTTTAATTTCTTTGGGGGAACTTTACCCTAAGTATGACTATTGGGCCAAAAGGTAACCCTGAGAGGTTACTTTCCGCAGATTTTTGAAGTTTCCTTCTCGGGATTTGTTTGTTCTGGACACTCTTACTTTGCAAGCTCCAAGGGGGGCTAGGCAGCGACGCCTCCCGGGGAGAAAACACTAGTTGCGGGCTGCCCACCTATTAGACCGGAGGCAGGTGGCGCTGCAGGGCCTAAGGCTTTTGTGGGGAGCTTGGGCTCCAGTGGGACCCTGGGCAAGTGGCTGCCCCTCCCCTGGCCTCGGTTTCCTTCTGTGTAGTCTGTGACTCCAACCAAGACGAAGCATAGTTGGGGCCCAGAACTGCTGACCTCCTGCTTGGCTCCCGCAGGACGTGGCCTGCGCCTCCCACCTCTCTCCTCGACACCTTCCCACCCCGCAGTCCCCCTAAGAGGAGCTGACACAGTGAGGCCAGAAAGGGTACAGAGACCAGGGCAATGCATCCGTCTCCTAAATCGGTCATTTATTGCTTCTGCCTGGCCGTGGCTGGCGCCCTCCTTTCCGCTCGGCTATCGAGTGCTCCTGTCTGAACCTGGCCAGCCGCCGAGGCGCGCCAGTCGGCCGATCCTTTGCTTCTGCCTAGCTCCGCTCTCCCGTCGGGAGTGCCGTCAGCCGCGAGATCGCCCGCTCGGCTCGCAGCTCACGCCTGCCGCTTCCGCTTCCGGTGGCCCCTGACCGTGCCGGGGCAGAGGCCCGGGCCATGGCGGGGAGCCGGCTGGAGACCGTGGGCAGCATTTTCTCGCGGTGCGTGCTCGGAGCCGGGTGGGCCGAGGGGGCCTCCCCCGGGGGGGCTCTCAGCCGGGGCGGGTGTGAGCAGGGCGAGGCGTTCTCCAGGGGGCGGTGACTGGGCCGGGGCGCCCGTGCGTGCTTCCTCTTGCTTCCGAAGGGTTGTGCTCGGCGATGTCACTCCTCGAATGTCTGACTTCCACGTTCAGGGTTGCACCTCTCCCTTCCCCGAGTCTCTGGGTCTCTAGGAAGAGGAAGGAAGGGAGAGGGGTGGGACGCACCTACGGAGATGGAAGGACTTACCTCCCCGAGCTGGGCTAGGGTGGTTTGGAGTTTGGAAATATCTTCCCTGTAGATGGGGAACACCCCGGCTCCGCGCTTTTCCGGGTCTGTGTTGCGGACTCCAGCTGACGCCCCAGACTGTGGGTTAGACTGACTCAGGGCTCAGACAAGCTGTTGTAGCTGACCTTCGTTCTTGTCCTTCCTCAAGGACTCGGGACCTCATACGGGCCGGGGTACTGAAGGAGAAGCCCCTCTGGTTTGACATCTACAACGCCTTTCCCCCGCTGAGGGAGCCGGTCTTCCGAAGGCCCCGCTTGCGATACGGCAAAGCCAGAGCTCGCATCCAGGACATCTTCTACCACGAGGATCTGATCAGAGCGTGAGTGCCGTGGGGCGCAGCAGAGCTGCAGGAGGAGGTTTAGCTGGCGGGCCGGTACCTTAAATAGGAACTGAGTCGGGGCTTGCCCTGTGGAGAACGCCTTGTAAATTTAGCCAAATTAGGGGATCAGTGCCCTCCCCAGGTGAGAGAAACAGTAGTTCTGAGAAGTGGAGTATGGGGCCCAGCAATTGACAGATCGTTGCACTTGTAGCTACCTGTTTCTACACGTCTGTTGTGCAGCAGGCGAGTGCTAAGCACGTAACAAACAGTACATTTAGGCCTTACTCTAACCCTGCAAGGTAGGCATCATTTCCTCCATTTCAGTCTTGAGGCTTAAGGAGGTCAACACTGGGAGTTAACTGACAAAGCCCTTTCTCTCAAATACTTATGTCGGTTAGTTTTAGTACTGGGAATTTGTATGGTTTCTTTTGACTTAAATGTTAAGATCAGAAATTGTACCTAATTGAAGTTAATACATATTCCTTGTCCTTACCCCAATTCCTGGATGTAAGAAAAAAGAATTTATCAAGTTATTATATTCTCTATTGAGGTCCAGGCACCTTTCATTTGAGCCCCCGCCCCAACACACACAACAATTCTTGGGGCGTTAAATACTTTTTCAACACTTTTCTGTTCAGGTTCATGGGATGCACGTGGTCAGCATGCTTTCCAGGTTCATTTATATTAAAATTATTTGTGTGGATAGCAGTTGGAACTCGGTAAATAGATCATTGGACAATGTGAAATATTTTATAGTTCTCTCTTTTACTGTCAGTGCCAAAATAATAACACCTTGTATTTAAATAATGTTTTGAACATTTATCTTTGTGGCTCTTTTGGGGAGGGGTGTTTTATATTTTTAAGAACTTATAACAACAAAATAAATTTCAGATGTATCAAAACCTAAATGTAAAAAAAAATGAAATCATAAAAGTACCAGAAGAAAACATGGAAGAATTTAAAAATAGTCTGAGTGATAAAGGCCTTTTTTTGTGTGTGTGTGTGAATTTTTTTATTTATTTTTTTGTTACAGATATTTTACCTTTTTACCCCATTGGCACCCCCCACCCCACCCCACCTCCGCCCCGTCCCCGCTTAGTTGTCCATGTCCATTGGTCATGCATACATGCATATAATAAAGGCCTTTTGAAGAGTGACATAAGACCCAGAAGCCTTAAATGAAAATATTAAAATTTTCTGCTTAAAAAATGTGCCATAAGCAAAATCAAAACTCAGCCAGCATACTGGGGAAAAAATGGCAGCACATATGACAAAGGGCTGATTTTCTATTTTTACTGCTCTAAAGTTTGCTTATAAGTCAGTAAGAAGCCTAGCTGGTGGGACTCAGTGGTTGAGCATCGACCCTTGCACCAAGAGGTTGCCTGTTTGATTTCTGATCAGGGCCCAGGCCCATGTTGCAGGCTAGATCCCCAGTAGGGGATGTGCAGGAGGGAGCCGATTGATGTTTGATCGATGTTTCTATCTCTTCCTCTCTAAAAAAAAATCAATTAAAACATATTTTTTAAAAAAGTCATGCCCTGACTGGTTTGGCTCAGCGGTTAGAGCGTCGGCCTGCGGTCCAGAGAGACCCGGGTTCAGTTCCCGCTAAGGGCATGTACCTCGGTTGCAGTTTGTCCCTGGCCCTGGTTGGTCATGTGGGAGGCAGCCACTTGATGTGTCCCTCTCACGTCAATGGTTCTCTCTCTCTCTTCCTCGCTCTCCCTCCCACTCTATCTGAACAAAAAATGGAAAAATGTCCTCGGGTAAGGATAAAAAAAAAAAAAAAGTCAATAAGAAAATGACCACCAAATGGAAAAATCAGCAAAGACATGGACAGGTTACAGAACAGGAAATTCAATTTGCTTTTATTTATTTATTTTTGTACAGATAGAGTGGGAGGGAGAGAGAGAGAGAGAGAGAAACATCGACGTGAAAGGGACACATCGAGTGGCTGCCACCCGCACGACCAACCAGGGCCGGGTACAAACTGCAACTGAAGTACATGCCCTTAGCGGGAACAGAACCCAGGTCTCTCCGGACCGCAGGCCAATGCTCTAACTGCTGAGCCAAACCGGCCAGGGCTTCAATTTGCTTTTTTTTTATTTTTTATTTTTTTATCCTCATCCGAGGACATTTTTCGATATTTTGTTCAGATAGAGTGGGAGGGAGAGAGAGAGAGAGAAACATCGACGTGAAAGTGACACATCGAGTGGTTGCCACCCACACGACCCAACCAGGGCCGGGGACAAACTGCAACCAAGGTACACGCCCTTAGCGGGAACCAAACCCGGGTCTCTCTGGACCGCAGGCCGATGCTCTAACCGCTGAGCCAAACTGGCCAGGGCTTCAATTTGCTTTTAAACATAATAAGATACTCAGTCTGTTTCATAAGAAAAGCCAAGACTACCATGAGTTACAATTAAAAAAAATTTTTTTTTCTTTATTTTTAGAGACAGAGGAAGGGAGAGGGGGAGAGAGAGATAGAAACATCAATGAGAGAGAACATCAATTGGCCACCTCCTGCATTTCCCCCACTGGGGATTTGGCCTACAACCTGGGCATGTGCCCTAACCGGTAATTGAACCAGCGACCTCTTGGTACATGGGTCTAGGCTCAACCACTGAGCCACACTGGCTGGGCAGAGTTATACTATTAAATTGACAAAGATCATAAAGTTGGAAAATGTAATTCAGGGTATGAGGGAGTAGGCACTGTCATATATTACTGGTGTGAGTGTAAATTGGCACAACTATTTTGGAAAGCATTTTGGCAGTTTGGAAGGCCAAATTACATGTGCTTATACCTTGATCCAATAATACTGTTTTTATGAATTTATTAGACTTATTTGCACAGTGCACTAAGAAACAGAGATAAAGGTAATCATTGCAGTACTGTCTAGCATAGCAAAGGACTGGAAATAATATACATGCGCTGGTTTGAAATGATCTTTAAGAAATACTAAGTAAAAAAAAGGCAAGATGTAGAATAATGCTTCCTACCCTTGACGATAAACAGTGTGGCTAGAGATAATGATAGATGCCTATGTGCTTGTATATTAGTAGAATATTCCTGGAAGGATACACAGAATCTGGTTAATCTTACTTCCTGGGAAGAGAATTGGGGTGTATAGGTAAGGAGGGGTGTTACTTTTCACTGGATACCTTTGTGGAACATTTGATGTATTTACCATGTGCATGCATCTGCTTACTTAAAGTAAAAAACCAAAGACTGTTAGGCTCAGGCTATGTAGGTCATGTTATACTTAATTCCTTAGGGCCTACCAGTTGTTTCTTGGTCTCTTCTTGGCCATGATCTTATATCATGTTGTTTGTATTTCCCAGGAAATTTTATTCAGCTTATGGATCCGGTCAAAAAGCTTTTGATCTGTTCAATCCAAACTTCAAGTCTACCTGTCAACGGTAAGCCATTTTATAAACCCTGGGTGACTTATTTTTTAATTTTTAAGGATTTAGTAATCAGTTGGGGGAGTTTTGTTGAATTGCACTAGAGGAGAACATTGTTCCCGTAGGAAGGCCTGCTAAGGGAATGCTTTACCCCCTGTAACAGCATGTCTTCAGAGCTCACAGGATACAGACCTAACGTGACTGCTTGGAATTCCAGGTTTGTGGAGAAGTACATTGAGCTACAGAAACTTGGAGAAACAGACGAAGAGAAGTTATTTGTGGAAACAGGGAAGGCTTTATTGGCCGAAGGTGTCATTTTAAGACGAGTAGGAGAAGCAAGGGCTGTGAGTATTTTATTATCAAAATTGTCAGTAGGATGAGTTGTCCATTTGTCAGAGGTTAAAGGAAGGCTTGGTTTTCTTTTCCCAACTTTGGTTCATGTTCCCAACTCCAGGTCAAATACTCTTAGATGGAATATACTGGAATTTTGTGGTTATGACTAATACTAGGAAGAAGTGAGTTGTCAGTAGGGCTTTTGAAATTGTGCCTCAGTGAGGTTTTATCATGTTTGTTTGTTATAACAGAGTTGACCTGAAATAGTAATGTTAAATTTTTGACTCAGTGGTGGAATGTACCTGAGTCATATAGCTTCAGCCAACTACTTGAGTGAAAACGGTGTAGCTCAGTGGTTGAGCGTCGACCCATGCACCAAGAGGTCGCTGGTTTGATTACTGGTCAGGGCATATGCCCAGGTTGTGGGTCTGATCCCCAGTGGGGGACATGCAGGAAGCAGCCGATCAATGTTCTCTCTCATCAGTATTTCTATCTCTCTAAAATCAATAAAGAAAAAATATGAAAACAAAAAGAAAAAAATAATAACATCTGTATGACATGCTTATGTCTGGTCTTCTAAGCAACAGGACCATAGTCACGTTTCCTGGAAATCTGAACCCACGGATGTCAAACCCCAAACTGTGTTGGAAGAAAAACAGCCTCTGAAGGAAGTCCCAGAGCACCTGAAGAGCAGTTGAAAGGCCTCCCGCCTCCCTGAAGAGCTTGTACCACGCACACTGACCTCCGCACTGGATTCACTAGATGGATGTTGAACGACTTTTCACAGCTGAGCTGTGTAAATGTTTCTGGATCTCGAAGGCCTTATGTTTGCCTTCTTTTAGTTCCTATTGCTAAGTTGTCATAAAGCTCAGTATCATGGTTTGAAAGAAGCAGTTATGTGAACTTTTATGTTAGAATGGTATTAAACAAAGAATTCCCTAGCTGCTTATAATGTAAATTTACTTTAAAACTGTAAATAGCATGAGGAAACCTTTGTAAGTATTGTTCAAATGGGACTCATTCTGAGTAGGTTTGCTTGGATTTTGGTGTTAGCATGTGGGCTGGTGGTGCCCTGGCCACTGTGGCTCTGGTGGTTGGGCATCGTCCTATGCACTGAAAGGTTGACGGTTCGATTCCTGGTCAGGGCACATGACCGGGATGTGGGCTGGATCCCAGGGATCCCTGCTAGTGGGTGTGCAGGAGGCAGTCGATGAATGTGTTGCTCTTGCATCGATGTTTCTCTCTCCCTCTAAAATAATAAACACAAAATGTGGGCTGGCTATCTCTTGTATGTTTCTCTTCTCTGCATCCATCAGACTTGTACTTAACATACAACGTGGTTCCTTGGTCAGTTGTTTCTGTGTGCAGATCATCTTTGTACTTGTTGTTGTAGAACTATTGGTCTTAAGAGGCCAAGCTGACCTGTGAGGACCTATAATTGAAAATAGCCAAAGGCCAAAACTGTAACTTCAATCTCATGGATTGACTGTGCTGAAGACAGCATAGGCCTGCGCACACTAGGCTTTGTTGAATGAAAGAATAATTACATCCAGCTCAAGACTGAGTTCAGATGACACCTCTTGGATTGCCCAGAGGGGCCCCAGAGGGGGCCAGCCAATTCAAATGATGCTCTCCACCTGCATCCACCTGCCTCCCTGGTGTCCAGGTGTGCCTACAAGTCCTAACAACTGTCTCGCTTTCTTCATTTCCATATCTTTTATTAAGTAAATGGTACATCTCCTGAGATTGTTACCTTTGTATTTGTGATGAAGCCAGTGTTTTTCAGCTACTGGTAATAAACTGCTTCAGCTATGTCTTATTTCAAAACTTGTGTAGCTTTTGTCCCGTATCCTTTGTGTACAGACACCTCTGTCTCCTGGTAGACTAAGGGTGGGGCACCCATCTTGCAGCCTGTACACCTTGCACATTGGTGCTCAAATAATGGGAGGTGAATGAGTACATGAGGCCAAAGCAGGTCTCAGCTGTGTTGCTTCTCCACCCTCCCTGCCCCCACTGTTACCACTGCTTCCTCTTGTTTGGGGAAAGCTTTTGTCTTAGATGGGGAAGTCCATTTCACCATCAACAACGTTAGGCGACCACTGGATTCTAAATACTGGGCCAGGCCTTGGGAGGACTTCAGCAGGTGGAGGAGATGGTTCTGTTCTCAGAGGAACAGTTGGGGGTCCCTCATTACTTCTCTAAACCTTATGTTTCTGGGGTTTAAAGGGAAGTTTTTTATTTTTAAAAGGAACAGCAATACTGTTTGTGATAACAGCAATAGGAAATACATAAGAATAAATCTGAGAAAAATGTACAGTGAAAAGTATAACAATATAAGAAAATAAAGGACAGTTTCTTTCCCATAATGATGAAGAGTTTTTTGTTTTTTTTTTTATCTTCACCTGAGGACATTTTTCCATTTTTTGTTCAGATAGAGTGGGAGGGAGAGAGAGGAAGAGAGAGAGAGAAACATTGACATGAAAGGGACACATTGAGTGGCTGCCACCCGCAAGACCCAACCAGGGCCGGGGACAAACTGCAACCGAGGCACGTGCCCTTAGCAGGAACCGAACCCGGGTCTCTCTCAACCGCAGGCCCGACGCTCTAACTGCTGAGCCAAACCAGCCAGGGCTGAAGAGATTTTTAAAAAGCTATTTGTTGCATACTTCTTTAAAAATTCATACATGCACATGGTTCCAAACTTAAAGACAAGAAGCCAGTCTCCTACCCCTGTGTCTCAGCCACCCCTTTTTTCTCCCCCAAGACCACTGTGATCACCATTTTCTTGCCAAAAATATTTCGGACCTGTGTACGGGGACACTATGCATATGTTCTGTACCTTGTTTTTCCACTTAATATATCTCGGAGAGCCTTTGTGTGGGTGCATAGTGATTTAATCAGCGCCCAGTTGACAAAAGTGTTTCTGTTGTGCTGCAAATAGGCTAGTATGCTAGTAGCTGTGGCGTGCATCGGCAGTGGTGTTGCTGGGTCAAGGAATAGCTCCTCTTCAATTGTGTTATTATCCACCATGGAAACTGCTCACTTACCCTCCCACCAGCAGTCAACGAGAATGCCTGTTTCCCCCCTCATCCGTACCTTCTGATCTTGTTAAACCAGACCAGGACTCATGAGACTGTCCCTTCTAGCAGACCTCCTTTAGGTTGAATCTCAGTGACCAAAGCCCAGGGAAAGGTGTGACGCTTACTCGGGTCGTTCTGGACTCTTCCCAATGTCAGTGTGGGCAAAAGCCATCAGGTTCTGGACCCTATTGTTTGGAGAGAACGGAAGTGGAACCTCATTCTTGCTTTTAAAGAGCTTAAAATATAATCAGGAAGACCGGAGTGACCTTCAAAACAATAAGATGAACAGGAATCCCTTTAAATTATGATATAAAAGTACAGTAGAGAGTCAGGGAGAGAGGTCAGCTATGGACTGGTCTAGGAACACTGCACAGAGAGCCTTGAAGGGTGGGTGGGGTTTGGGGACTTGAAGTGGCGCGTGCTGCTGCTCCTGCTGGGGGCACCCCCCACCCCTGCCACCACTGTCTTTGGAAGCCATATCGTCACTGTCCTTTTCAAACGGTATCTGCTTGGAAGTTTTATCTAATGTTCAAATCAAGTCTCGAGACCCTATTGAGCCCCTTCCAGACTGTGCTCACGTCACTGCAGTTAGCACAGCTGGTCCACTGTGTATAGTCCTGCCTGCTTTACCCTGGTCTTTCCTTCCAGGCTCACGTCACTGCAGTTGGCACAGCTGGTCCACTGTGTATAGTCCTGCCTGCTTTACCCTGGTCTTTCCTTCCAGGCTCACGTCACTGCAGTTAGCACAGCTGGTCCACTGTGTATAGTCCTGCCTGCTTTACCCCGGTCTTGCCTTCCAGGGAGCTGAGTGTGCTCTCCCTCTGCAGAGTGTAAACAAGGGCAGACATTCTTGATTGTACACACTGAAGCATGAAGCAGCCTTTCAGGAGTAGGTCCTCCATGTGGGTTAGCTGAGCTGGAGGGCACATGCCCTGGTTACAGTGAAGTCTGCACAAGATGAGGCTGAAGATCTTGGCTCTGGCTACTTCACTTTTTACTGGTGTGACCTCGTGCCTGTCACAGTCTCTCGGGTTTCTAGTTAGTATTGTGAGGATTAATGGATATAATGAATGCAAAGCTCACTTTGCACGAGCTTTGTATGTGACAGGTGCTTTTATGACTTTTGAGGAGTAGTGGAAAGCACGTTTGAATAGGTAGGATGGGATTTGATCATGGTGGCCCCAATAACTCTATAGAAGAGTTCAGCTGAGTATAAGAAAGTTTGAGCACCCAGCTGGTGTGGCTCAGTGGTTGAGTGTTGGCCCATGCATGCACCAGGAGGTTCCCAGTTTGATTCCCGGTTGGGGCACATAACAGGGCTGTGGGCTCACTCAATCCCCAGCAGGGGGCGTTCAGGAGGCAGCTGATTGATGTTGATGTTTCTCTCGTCGATGTTTCTATCTCTCCCTCTTCCTTCCTTTCTCTCTAAAAAAATCAATAAAAAAACATTTTAAAAAAAGAAAAGAATAAAGAAAGTTTGAGCAAGGACGTACCATTGTGAAAGCAGTGTCAGGTCAAAGGAAGATTTGCCCAGGTGTGAGATAAATAATGTGGTTGGGGGAGTAGGCAGCGAGTGTGGGAAGAGGAGACATGTCAGGGAGACTTTTTCCTGGGCTGCCATTCCAGTTGGAGGCAGAGATTCCAAGGTTACAAGCCTGAGTGACCAGAACAATAGCATCACTAACAAGCAGGTGGGAAAGAAAACTTCAATTCATTTTTAAAAAAATGTTTTTATTGATTTTTTTAGAGAGAGAGAAAGGGAGAGAGAGAAACATTGATATGAGAGCGAAACATCGGTTGGCTGCCTCCTGCACATCCCCTATTGGGGATCGAGGCTGTGACCCAAGCATGTGCCCTGACTGGGAATCAAACTGGGACCTCTCAGTCCATGGGGTACTGCTGAATCCACTGAGCCACACTGGCCGGGTGAAAGCTTCAGTTCTTAACATACCGAGTTAGAAGTGATGGGGCAATGTTTAGGTGGCCGACAGCGATGTGGGTTAGGTGTCTGGGAGAAGGGGAGGAGGCATTGGAGCCAGAAGAATAAATGAGCTGTCCAAGGGGACTGTAAAGAGACACAGATGTTGGAGGCTGAGCCAGGTGAATGCTGTCTGTTAAAGGACAGGAGGAGCGAGAAAGCCAGCAAAGGAAAGTGGTCCCACATCTTCCATCATCTAAACAGCGAGACCCAAAGAAATAGTCCTGGATTCATGGGGTTTTACAGAGTTCTTTTTTTGCTTTTTCTGGATAGACCTGATCTTTGATTTGTGTGCCCTTAAAAGGCCAGCCCATTTCTTTTTGTAATTCTGTGTAATACTTAGTGTTGTGTTCGCAGACAATGAAAATGTTATTATGGAAAAATCTGTGCCTCCAAGGGGTTCCTAATTTTTGTTAAAATGATACCCTTTTTTTTTTTTTATCCTTACCCGAGGACATTTTTCCATTTTTTGTTCAGGTAGAGTGGGAGGGAGAGAGAGAGAGAAACATTGATGTGAAAGGAACACATCGAGTGTCTCCCACCCGCACGACCGACCTGGGCCGGGGACAAACTGCAACCGAGGTACGTGCCCTTAGCGGGAACTGAACCCGGGTCTCTCTGGACCGCAGGCCGTCGCTCTAACCGCTGAGCCAAACTGGCCAGGGCGATACCCTTTTCTAAATACATGATGACTCACCACTTAAAAACATTCTATGGGTTCTTTTTGTTAATCAAAGTCACTCCAGTAGGATGATACGATTCCTCTGAGGTTAGCACTGGTGCCTGCCTCTGCTCTTGGGAGTCCAGATGAGGCACTCGAGAGTGTGGGGCCTCATCCATCCTTCTCGGCTCTCAGCTGGCCTGGCAGTGTCCTCACCACACAGGAGCGTGGGGTATGTGACGTGATGTGGCTCCGACAGTTAAAGCAATCTGGCCTCAGCTAGGGGACTGTAGAGTCAGGAACAAGAAAAGTGACTCATGTAAGGGGTGAGGGGTGAGGTTGCTACTTCGTTCCTGGTCTCTCTGCTCCTGAGTTCTATTCCAGAACAGCCAAAAGGTGGAGGACCGACCAGCTAGTTATTCATGTGTTTTGAGCCTTGGAGGGTGCTCAGTGAGATGGATGCCTGAGCAGCTTCAGTGAGCAGCTTGGTCAAGGTCACCTTGGCTGGTGGAGGAAGGGCACCTGCTCCCCTGTGGAAAAGACAAGAAATGGCTTTTGTGTCACTGCTAGGGAAGCACTCAGCGTGGCAGGCGGGTCTCCGATTGGAGGGGCCTAGCCCTGGAGCAGCTTCTGTGGAGATGCTGAGCCAGACAAGTGGCTATTGCTGCAGCACGAAAGTGGGAAGGTTGCTAGGGGAAGGCCAAGGTGGCGGGAAGTTAAGTGTTGTGTCCCCTACAAAATGTAGCAGCCGCTGCCCCCTCCATCTGTGCAGATTACAGAGAGGGGGTTTTGTTGAATGCTAGCTGACAATGAAATTACATTTTGGGTCTAGTTTTACCCTCGATGGATGCGTTTCCTGGACTGAAACTTAAATGTCAGTCACCTGACCTTCCAGTGGCTCAGTTCTTTTAATTAAAAGATGGTTCTAAGCAACATCCAATAGTGGTCTCTTTATTATTTATCAAGCATTTCCCTTCCAGCAGTTAGTGAAAGGTCAGTGGCTTCAATGGATGCTTTGTTTTTGGTGAGCAGCTCAGATGAAAAAGATATATATACAATCAATCCCCGCTCCTTCCTGTTTGCTCATGGGCAGGACACTGTTTAATAGTCAGTGTGGCATTTAGGATCGCAGTCTTCTGAAACATGCAGAAAAGTGCACGGCATCCCTTGCTACTGAACGCTTCTCCAAAAGTAAACACTAGGTCATGATTATGGTTAATAATGAGATATCGATTGTTGCAAATGTCAGGGCCTGGACCGTTGGCCCCAGCACCACTAGATGGCGCTGCACTATCATGCTGTTCAACTACAATGATTTTATTTCTTTGCCTCGGGGTACCTTGCCTTTCAAGGTTGACGAGTGTCCTTGTAAAATAATATTCTGGCTGAGATTTCGGAAGCTGAGGTCCTGGAGTGTGTGGGATAGGGTAGAGACGGGAGCAGTTAGGCTGGGGGGCAAATGACAAAGGCCTGGGGGGAAACCGGCGCTGTTTGTACCACAATAGGAGCAGGAGAGGAAGGAGCTAACTGTGCTGAGCCCCTGGAGACTCTGCCCAGAGCAGTGTTTTCTTACCTTCTCCTGTCAGTGACACATCTGTGAATCTGCTGTGCAGCACGGAGGGGGAGACCAGGCGGCAGG